TGCTTTGATAGTAAATAGTGTTACTTCAAGCAAAGTATAATTTGATTAATATAACTCTAATATATCAAGAATATCAAAATTGTATCTAACTGGTGTATCTAACTTTTGAATTGAATTACACTATAATTAAGAGCAAATTTGGAAAAACATGACTAATTATTTTTTGATTATTTAAATTGACAATTAGTCTTAAATATCTATTTTTAGCATATCTGTCAAATAATTGCGGACGAAGGGAGTGGTAGTTTCTGCCTAATTTGTGTGAATTTTAACAAAATCAAATTATGATACAAACGATTAAAGAGACAAAACTTCTCAATAAAATGTGAACCTCATTAATTCTTCGGAAAAGGATAAAAAATATGAATAAAAAAATCTTTGTTGTCAATACTTTGATCAAAAATATCTTTATTGTTATTTAATGAGTAAAGAATCCCATCTTTCCAATAAATTTGTTATTTATTTTTTAACACATTTTTTCTAAGGATTATTTATAAACTTAGAAACGTTTATCCTATTTCAATTCATATAAAAATAAAAAGAATTTTATTTTATTATAATTATTTTTTATCGTTACGTAAAATTAGTTGATGATGGATTTACTATGATCTTATATATGATATGAGGTATGTTATCCGTTGAAAGGGTACATGAGGTTATTTTATTTTAAATCGATAAAGTGAGATGTCTACATTTTTATATATTAAAGTGAATTTTAAAAAAAGAAAACAAGAATATGATTGTTTAATAATATTTTAATTTGGAAGAAGTTGTCTTTAAAAAAAAGAAATATATTTATTCAGGGAAAAAAGCATTTTTGACCCATTTATTAATCGTATGGTATTTCTGGATCAAAATATTGACGGTAAAGACATTATTGAACTAAAATATTGATGACAAAAATATTTTTGAATCAGATTATAAATAAATAATATTTTATTCATTTTCTGTGATTTGATGCTTTTTTTAAACCCTTTTCCGTTAATTCTTATTCAGTGAAAATCTTGGTAAAATTAACATCATGAAAAAACACTTAACGCCATTAGACACACAAGGCGATGTCATTATTCAAACTATTTACATTTATATAGTTTTGATGAGATAAGATATTTAAGCAACGTTTGCATATAGGTATTTATTGTATAAATTACGTGTGAATTTCGTCTACCTTTTAAATTAAACGATTTTGCACATTATTGTTATTATTATTTTTAAAAAAACAAGGGAATGAAAAAGAAATAAAAATATATACTTTGGTGACTGCTGACTGGTTGGAAATGTGTTCGATCAGATAAAAATATTTTTTATATTTATATTTAGTTGATTAAATTTTTCGAAAAATATTATTCAACTGAACACTATCTTTTGTCTTTGGTGCAGAAGAAAAAGAAAAAGACTAATACGCGTTCATTTATTGTTCATAAATGAAGTTGTTATTTAAGTGAGTAGTTAGGTAGTCTTCTCAAATTTAGTGTGTACGACCAAATTAATACCTTAAAAATTAAGGAATTTAATAGTAGTACATTCTGTTTTACTTAAAAGAAAATACACTATCCTTCGATATTTAATTTTTCCTAAAATAAAATATTATTAATAAAATTAATTTTAGTTTAGAGATAGATGATCTTGGGAAATGAATGAAGCCTATTTTCTCACCAATTACTAAAAGGTCAACAAAGTGATTAAAAGTGGCGACTTTCCCCAAAGTTTTACTTAATCCAATGAACACATCACAATAAATGAGAATGCTAAGTTAATGATAGTGATATAATTAAGTTAATCAAACTATAATTCCGTATAAAATCGTTGGAACTAACAATAACATAAGAGTGAAAATCATTAGTGGAGTAGGAGGATAGTAGGAGGGTACATATATATTGGTTCCTCCGTTTATAATTAATTGTCATAGTTTTCTTCTTTTAGAGTCAAATTATAAGAATTTTGATTAATATTTTACGATTATATTTTTATTTCTATTGATATGCAAAAATTTACAGTTTTATAATATTTTACTATAGTTTTTGAACATTTAATTTTTTTTCGTCAAATTGACTTTCGAAAAGCATGACAAATAAAAGCGGATAGAGAAAATGTTTTATTTGTACATAAAGAGGTATAAAGATAATTTCGAAAGACTTGATTTAGAAAAAATAGTTAACATATTGAAGTAGAAAGAAAAATAACAAACATATCCATAACCAAATATAATGAAAATAAATTCAATTATGATAACTAAGTAGTGTGATAATTAAAATATATAAAATCATTGGATCCCTGTGAAAATTTTGTGATTTTTTAGTTGAATTGATATTTTTCAAACACTAATTTTTAAATAATTTTTTTAGAGAAAATATTTCTTTTATGAAATCAACGAGTCCTAAATATTATTAATGATATGACACATGTTAACAAAATATTTTCGTTCCAATCACTTAAATCCCTATTATTAATTTTCGAACATGATATCATGTAAATCATATTGCAAAAAGAAAAGAAGTAGTTTTAGACCATTAAAAATAAAAAGATCAAATAAGAGTTAAGTTTAGCTTAATTGAAAAAAAAAAAAGACAAACTAATTTCATGATGGAAGTATGTAGTTAACCCCATAGATATCATATATTTTTTAATCGAAGTGCTTCTCTTAAATGAGATCTTAATAATAAATAAAAAATATTAGGTTTGATTTTAAAATTAATGAAATATGTATCACTTTATCTAAAAGTTTAAAATGTTAAAGAGAATATATTTTTACTAATAATATTCTCGATATGCCTCCTAATTAATGCAATATAATACATAAATATATTATTTAATTTGACCTCATTTCATATTTATACATTTTGACTTTGAGTATGTAGTAATAGACACTTAAATTTGTACAAAATTGAATAAGTAGACACATAGCTCCGAACATAGCATAATGCACATTGAATACCATATAAGACGTAAATTGCCATGTAAATACCACTATAGAATGTGTGTGTCTGGTTGTTCAATTTTTTACATACTAAATATCTATTTATAAATATTTAAAATTAAAAAATATAAATACAAATAAAATATAAATTATATCTATATCGATAGTCATCTCCATAAAATTAGTAATTAAATACTAGTTCATAGTGCATACAAGAGATGTCTCCTTCGTGTTGGCCTTTTCCCTTAAGCATGAGGTGCGCTTCCATAACAACTAAGGTGTTGTCCAAAGCTGCTAAGGACACTGTCGCTCAAATCATTGCGCCTTTCTTTTCTTTAAATTAAAAATAAATGAACACTCAATGAATTCCCTTTTCTTCTAAAAATGGCTTCGAACGGTCATAATTAGGGGTATGCATAATTTGCAATATCCTTAATATTCAAATCGAAAAAAATAATAATTAGGGTATGTATTAAAAATATTATGAAAATTAATAGAGACGTCACTCATTGTATTGAAGCAGGATAGATGAAGTAAAAATTTCAATAATCTAAAATTATATATGATAAATGCAAGCAATCTATTTTGAGAATAATTTTTATAGAGTGATCTTGCTTTGTGAGCGAAATGTTGGCCATTCAAAAATTTTCATATTCAAAAGTTGAAAATGATAAGGATAAACGTGTTTGAGGTGAATGTGTGGATGTCAAGGAAATAAGAGATTAAAAATGGAGTTATAAAGTGCCGCCTTAGATAATAACATGTGGAATTAAGATGTTTCAGACAAGTAAAATATGAGATGTAGAAATACTACAGTTATGAAGTGTGAAAGCTTGACAATTAGGGCCTTAGGGTGGGGGTGGTAAGATATAAATAGCGCGAAGAAATATTAAAATGAAAGAATTTTGTAAGATAAATATAATTTTTCGTCATTAAAGTCATGATGCTTGATAGGAAGGTTGGAGTTGTTTATACATGTTATTTCCCATTCTTAATGTACTAATATTTTTCTTCTTTGTCTTTATCTTAAAATTTTCTATTTTAATTTGTTCTGATTTTATGTTGTTATTTTTTTCTTGCTATTATTATTTATATTTCTTTTATTGCTATCTATTTTTGTGATTTATTTTGTCAAGGTCTGTTAAAAATATTTTTTTATCTTTATTGAGTCAAAGTTAATATTTTATACTATAAGGCTTTACTTATAAATTGCTCTAATACTCTTCTAAAAATTAAAATATAAAAATATTTGATTAAATTACTAGTATTTATTCAAATATTCTTTTACTCCTCAAAGATTAATTTTTTTAATCATTCTCTACCATACGGAATAATTCAAAATCGGAGAAAAATCATGCGTTACGTATGATATTTGATGTAACATTTTAAAGAAATTGACCACAAAAAAATACAAACTGAAATGTCTAGAAATTCGTATATCATACCAACTTTAATATCCTAGTCAAAATACAAGTAAAATGACATTTTTTATAAAATAAAAACAGCTACTTTAATTTTAAAATAATAGTTTCTCTCTCTGTTCAAATCATGTGACAATTTTTGTGGGACGTGCCATATTGTTTTGAAGTCACTAATATATTTATCCCTATTTTTATTAAAGTTTTTAAATTATGACACACTAAAATTTATTTTTGTTTGAAATTTAATAAATAAGTAGTAAATTTTCAAATATCTTTTTTCTTTAAATTTTGTCGATATTCCCAAAGGTATATGTTATATATATATATATATATATGCTGATAATATAATTCTTTATCAGGTCAAACTTTTCGCAATGAAGTAAAATTAATTGTTTGAACTTATTTATTTGTCTTTATTTTAAATAAAATATGTTATTTTTTTAATTAACCTTGTGGCTAATAAAATTCGTGAGGGGATTAGACGATGAAAATGTATTTAAAATTGGTTGTGCTTTGACTATCACACTCGCGCATTTACCAACCCAAAAAACTTGTGAACAAAAATGTAAAAGAATTAATAGAATTGACAAAATAAATAGAGAAAAAGCAAAATATAAGTACATCCCTCTCTCTTTCTCTCTCTCAATCAATATCAGGTTCTTCTTTCTCTCTTTGTATCTCTTTTTCTCTCTCATGGTGATGGTATCATCTCCGCCACAATTTTTATCGGAGGACCGCCGGTGATCGGTGTTTTTCTCCGTCTCCTCAACATTTTGATTCTTTCGGTATCCATATTTTTCTTCATTTATATATATATATATATATATGTATATCCTTGTTGTTCTTGCAAAGTTTAGCTCTGATATTCTGCGTTGTAGATCCGTGTTCTACTTTTTCGTTTAAATTCATATGGATCGGGTTACTTATGGATCCGTTTAGATCTTCTTGTAGATTTTGGTAATTCGTTTTTGTGATTTTATAAATTAATTGTTAAAACTGGTTGTGTTATTTATTTACCTATTTTGAAGCCGTTTTTTGGAATTGGTATTTTTATAAATTCTGTGATTTTCTTGTTCTTTATTTTCTGTATTTATTTATTTGTTGAATACCTGATAATATTTGCACAGCTGCCCTTGCTTTTTCGATTTTTTTTCATGAACGGGAAGATAATTTTGACTTAATTAATTCTCAAATCTGTGTTTATTTTTATGTGGATGCTTAGGATTTTCTTTGTTGTTTTTGGAGAAATAATTGTTGGATTTTGGTGTGGTGCCTTATTTTCAAATCGGAGTTATCTCTGCGGTTGTATTTTTTATTGTGTTGGGACAATTGTATGAGCTGAGGTCGCATATGTATCAACTGTTTGTGCTGTAAAATAAATGTTTCTTTGGTTGAAACTACTTTTTTTCGTCTCATGAGATTTGATTTAATCTTGTGCTGATATTTCAACATTCTTTTCTGTTGCGCGACGAGCTGCTGCGTGTATGAGAAAAGTAGGCAAGCTTGTTCTTGATCTTGAATTTTAAATTCCCTACTTTACGATGGAACGATGGGGAATGAGGCGAGATAAATTGCAATTAGCTTAACTAAAAAGCTAGATTCGGAAGATTTCCAATCTGGACAATCAGCTAAACTTTTTAAAGAACTTTCCTGGACAATCAATTGGAAACACATTAAGTTAGCAGGGTTATCTTGTGTTTGAGTGCATAATTTCATTTGTCTAGAGTTGTTTCAATGTACAGTCATGACTAGAGATATATGGATGTCATTCAATCCAACTTTTTATTGGATGTTTTTCCCATAATTATTTCTGTAAGTACTATGATATGATATGATGTGTGTGATCATGCTGATGTTCCCATTTTTTTTTATGTTGGTCAGGTGAATGACCTTTTGTGGTGATAACTAGTAAGCAGACTTTTCTTGGAAATGGCTTCCGTGGGCTTAGCACCTACATCGGGTTTGAGAGAATCCAGTGGCCATAATGCTGGGGTAGATAGGTTGCCTGAGGAGATGAATGACATGAGAATCAGGGATGATAAGGTCTGAATATTGAAGAGCATAGCCTTTTTGCTATTTGTCCTTATTTTATTGGATCCTCCTTTTTTGTGGTGATTTCGTTGTCCTTTTCAAGTTTGTTCATCAGATTTAAACTGTTCATTTGTAGGAAATGGAAGCAGCAATTGTTGACGGTAATGGGACTGAGACAGGCCACATAATAGTGACAACTATTGGTGGTAGAAATGGCCAGCCAAAGCAGGTAATGTGCTCTGTCACTCTCTTCCATTTTAATTCCTTTTTTGTTCTGTTGGTTTCTTGATATGGTTCCAGAGTTTTCTCTTCATCAGTTGATTAAGGGTAGACAAGTAAAATGATTATATAATAGACATATGTTCTTATTATTGGCCAAATTGTTGCACAATTTCACTTGGTTTTTATTGCAGACTATTAGTTACATGGCTGAACGTGTTGTTGGACAAGGATCCTTTGGGGTGGTGTTTCAGGTATATTATTTTATTTTGTTCATTACAGGTGCCATTGTCTATTTATGCTTATCAATATACCCTTCATACACCCATAGGAAGTTATATGTGCATAATTTTATGATTTTCTTATTTGGTTCCGCAGGCAAAATGCTTAGAGACTGGTGAAACTGTTGCTATTAAAAAGGTTCTTCAAGATAAAAGATATAAGAACCGAGAATTGCAGACAATGCGCCTTCTTGACCACCCTAATGTTGTGTCTCTCAAACACTGCTTCTTTTCCACAACTGACAAGGATGAACTGTATCTTAACTTGGTTCTTGAGTATGTACCTGAAACCGTTCACCGTGTTATCAAACACTACAATAAGCTGAATCAAAGGATGCCGTTGATACTTGTGAAGCTTTATACATATCAGGTAGAATACACTTTTTTAAAGTGAGTTGTCATTTATATAGTTCCTCTTTGTTAAGAACTCCCAATGTGTGAGACCTCTGCAAATCCTGTTGTACAAGTGATTGTTTTCCTATATTTCATATATGTGAGATGTTGGACAAGAGATTGTTGCTAAAATTGTTCCAGTATTTTTCTAGTTCTTTTGTTTGTTCTTACGATGGGCCAACCTTGGAAAGTCCGCCAGACTGGTTTTTATTATGAGAAACTAGTTTCACTTCAATTACCTTGTTTTTAATGCACTTCGATAGCTAATGATTTTCTTGAGGTTGTTCTATTGTGTAACATGCCTAAAGTACAATATGCTGTTTCTGTCTGGCAGATTTTCAGGGCATTGTCTTACATACACCGCACTATTGGAGTGTGCCACAGGGACATTAAACCTCAGAATCTTTTGGTATAGTTATCTACTCCACTGCTTTGCTGTTTATTTCCTTTCAGCTTTTTGTTGTTGCCGCTTTGCCGGTAACTGTTTTGCTTTATTTTCATTATAATAGATATGATGTGAACATCTGCTCCAAATGTATGGAAAAATGTACCGAAGATATGTTTTAAGTTTGTCAATGATTTGATGTATGGAGTAGAATAATGCAATATGGTTGATTCCTTCATTGAGAGAAAAAATTCTTTCCTCATGTGCTCATTACTCTTCTTATAATGTTATCAATCATGCATTTTGGAAATGCGTTAAGCTACTGATCTCCTCAGAGAAATAGAAGGATGTAACTAGATTGATGTACTGCATGTAAGGAGAGATGGGAATGTAACTTCGCATCCACCATGAACTCACTTTTCTGTGTCTTATTTTGTCTGTGGACGCTCTGTTGTGAAAATATGTTTTGCTGCGCTGATGTGAGCTTTCATCACGCTCGGTTGACATCATTTCTTCCGATTGAGTAATGGATTTTAGTACAAAGATAGTTATATGAGAGACTGATATTGACATAGTTGGTGAACTTGCTATGACCTTAACCTAAGCAGGCAATTTATTCTGCTTTATTGATATATTTCAATTTTTTTAACTTGCTAGCAATTGTCTTTATATTATCTCTTTATTGGCTCCTGAAGGGACTGGAACCTAAAGAATATTAGAAAGGATGAAAGAAGAAGTACTTGATGCGACCCAAAATATAAAAGGAGAACCAATGTATTTGCAATTTTAGTGTGCATAGTGATGCAAATTTCTTCCCAATTTGAAGGAAACAGTTCTATTTATTTTGCTCTACTCTCCTGGCTTATGACTGTTGAACATGTTAGCAAGTGCTATTAAGAACTACTTGTTCTTTCCATTTGCATTTCTCATTTCTCTCTGGATACTAAAAATCCATGGCATGGTACTTTTTTGGCAGGTGAATCCACATACCCACCAGGTTAAATTATGCGATTTTGGGAGTGCCAAAGTTCTGGTGTGTTCACATTTTTTCTTAGCCTCTTGTCCTTCCTAACATATGTGTTAACATTTTTAGCCTCTTGTCCTTCCTTACATATGTGTTAACATTCTTTCTGATTGGATAATCTGCTCCAATTTTTGACAGGTTAAAGGAGAACCAAATATTTCTTACATCTGTTCTAGGTATTATCGAGCACCTGAGCTCATATTTGGTGCAACAGAGTACACTACTGCTATAGATGTTTGGTCTGCTGGCTGTGTCCTAGCTGAGCTACTTCTTGGTCAGGTAGGTTGTTACTTTCTCTTAATATTAGTGTATTCGTGGACAGTATTCCATATTACATTGACAATATCTCATTGATTGCTTTCTTCCATTTTCAGCCATTATTTCCAGGTGAAAGTGGAGTTGATCAGCTTGTTGAGATCATTAAGGTAATCTTGTCTATTTGACTTTCTTGTCTGCAGTTCCTTGCCAACTTTATTTCGACCTTTGTCCCCTTCCTCTGCTGTTCGTGATTTTCTTTCATCATTGTCGTTTTTTGTTTATTTCCTTCTTTTCATTTATTGCATCCAATTGTAATTTTTATAGGCCTTCTTTCCTGCCTTTCTATTTTGGATTTATTTACTGCTTGACTTGCAATGTTCTGGGTCAACCCTTGTGTGATCTCTGCTTTCTCAGATTTTTTTTTCTGCAAATGTATCTTATGGGGAGATAATAGCTCTTTTTAGTGTCTGTATTAGCACATTCCTATCATTTTAATCATGTTATGCATTTTTTAGCAATGAGATTTTTCAAGATGATGTAATAGGGAAAATTAAAAGGAAATTGGAGGAATTAACTTGGCTTTCAGTTTGTGTATTGCTTTGCTGCTGTTGTGACCAAGTTTTGATATTAACTGAGATCCACCTCTTCCAAACTTCCATATAAACCAAGCTTATGATTTGTTGATCAAATAGAACTCAGAGATGGTGAGATAGGCTTTTTCTGACCAATTATAGTTTTACATGAGGCATCCCACCAAAACTTTGGAGTCTGGTCTTCTGACCAGAATAATGTGATTCTAGTAACAGGTGATTCTGACCTGGATAGTCTGTAAATGCCCAATGATTTTGTCCTCTACTCTGGTCGGTTCCGTAAATTTAGGTGTACTTGATTCTGTGCTAAGTTCAGTTTATCCTACTGTTTAGATTCTAGATTATAATTAATTGAAGGAGCTTTGTTTGAATGTTAAGGAATTTGCGCTGGCGTAATACGTTTCCTTTTTCTGCTTGTGTAACAGTTTCAGATTCGAAGATTCTGTAACTAAGACGAGTTCACTGTTTTTTGATAAAGAAATAAAAGTAAAATTATTGTTTTAGTAATAAGACAGCTTTCTGTACTATTAACATCTCAATTATTGTCATAGATAAATATGGCTAAGAAGATTCTCAACCTTTTGCTGATTGGCCATGTTACTTAATTTGTTTTGAGTTTGGCCCACATCTACTTTTTTTTGCCCAAACTATATCTCCTACTACATTTTGCAGGTTTTAGGCACTCCTACAAGGGAAGAAATTAAATGTATGAATCCCAACTATAATGAGTTCAAATTTCCTCAAATTAAAGCTCATCCATGGCACAAGGTACTTGAAATGCAACTTATTGTAACCAACCCCTTCATAGAACTGGCTAGTATACACAACGCAACAAGTCATTTCTAATGTTGATTTTCAGATATTTCATAAGCGCATGCCTCCAGAAGCAGTTGATCTGGTCTCAAGACTGCTTCAGTACTCTCCTAACTTGCGCTGTGCTGCTGTAAGTATGCCGAATTTGTTTATTCGAGCTAATCTCTTTCGCCTATGTATATCACAGAATATACAGGGATCACATTTCTGTATCTCTGTTCAGTGTTTGACATATTTTGATGTTCTTTTTATAGTTGAACACGAACCCATTATTTTGTAAAAGAGTATCTAAATTTTGACTCAACATTGCATGCCAGTCTTTCTTTTCCTTGTCTTGGGCTTCGCCGAATTTCTTGAAGAGCAATGCAGCTGTAGTTTGATTTGTCAATGGTGTGATTATTTCAGTCTAGTTCTAAGTTGAGAGGTGTACTAATTTTGAATGCAGTTGGATGCCTTGGTTCACCCATTTTTTGACGAGCTTCGTGATCCCAATACACGCTTGCCTAATGGACGCTTTCTTCCTCCCTTGTTTAACTTCAAGGCTCATGGTATGTTGTTGACTAGACTTGTTTCAGATTAGCTTCTTTCCGTAAGTTGCAAGTGAATCTATTGAATCTGGGTTTCTTGTCACCAGAGTTGAAGAATGTGCATGCAGAGATATTACTGAAGTTGGTTCCAGAGCACGCCAGAAAACAGTGCCCTTCCCTTGGGTTATGAGTTCCTGCCTTGTGATAGAAATAATTTAAGTGTACCCTTTGAAGCTGTGTTTCTTCTCTGTATCAATTTGTTCCTTCTTTCCCTTATCTTACCATGTCTCTGTTGTCCCTTTGTATTATTATTATTATATCTTGTTTTGTAAAAGCAGATGTAGGGAATTGATCTTTAACAAATACCCGATGTTCAACCTGTGTTCCTTTTTACCCTGTTCCGATATATCCTATGCTTGTAACATTATGTGGTTGAGAATTAACAATTTGAGTGAACGTTATTATTATGGGATTGCAAATTAATGATAGGGTGACTGTTGATATGGCTCCTAAGACTCTTGGTATTTAAACGATTTACTGCTGTCCTTTGGGTTGTGCTGTCTCCAGTGAGAATTTTCAGAACAGCGAGCTGGCTATCTAATCTTAATACATTTACATGGTATGTTGTTATCGCTAGTGTTTCCGTTACTTGTAGAATACATGGTTTTATGGTTACCTTACAAATGGCTTCCGAATCCTACGAAAACATAAATCATTGTCCCACACTAGTATATGGCGAGTGAACCGATGAATGAACTGCGTGGTGCCTATTAGTTGTAGCAGTAAAAAGGGAAAATAGCAGATGTGGAGAAGAATGTGCATTTCAGTGCAAGAATCGTACAGTTGGTTCATCCCTATAAATTCTTTCAGGTATGAATTGGACCGCCAAGAATAATCTCATTATAATGAGGTCAAGCAAAATGGGGCCAAATATTTTTTGCTAGCAACAAGGAAGAATACAAGCATTGTTACAACATTATTTTTTGCAATGGACATGATAAATTGACGAGACTTCTTAATTCCCTCTTTCTCAAACTTTTGATAAAGAGTAGAATTTTGAAAAGAAAAAACCATATACCAGATTTAGCTGGCCAATTGACGTGATGAGATTATGCTACATGTTACTTTTAAAACTTTCTAATTTAGTCACATGTTCACCAATTTAGTTTGAGATTAAAAAAAAACAGTGTAAACCGGAGCCTAAACGAGATCTGGAAACTTGTACAGGCAAACATATAAAAAGCCATTAGGCATTGGGATTTTAGTTTTAGTAAAAAATGCCGTTGGGTAAATACTACTGCGATTACTGCGATAAGGAATTCCAGGATACCGCAGCTGCTCGGAGGCGTCATCTTCAAGGTGTTCAACATCAAAGAGCCAAGGCTCTTTGGTACGACTCCTTGCGCAGTAAGTTTCTCCTTTTTCTTCTTCTTAGTAAATTAATTTCCAAGTGTTGATGAACGATTTTTCTGGGAGAACAGATCCCCAATTATTTAACGATCCGGACTCGTTCGGTAAAGGAGTCTGCAATCACTTTGTTCGAACGGTACTGCTCTTATCTTCGTATTTTAGTATGCAATATTTTGAGACACGGAGTCAGAAGTTGTATTACATTTTTGGGTTGTCCATTTTATTGCAACTGATGGAAGAAGAAACAAAAGTGATAGATGAGTCAGATTTTCGCATTTCATCAATCAATATTAGACTGGTTCGAGTTGGTTATATGAATCATCTGTATCTTTTATTCAGAAGATTCATCATCTTTTGAGTTCAATTGATGCATTTCATAATTACCATTCAAAAAAAAAAAAGAGAGACTGTTGCAATCTAAGATACTTTGAAGTAGAATTTGAGGTTTCTAGGCCTTTTACTTTAATTTATAAGGTTTTGTAAGGCCTATAGGCTATAATCTTCTCAGAATACGGCTAAGTTGTATGTCTCCAACTTGATGAGCATGGTATGAATTGTCGTAGGTGAATTTCATAATCTGCTAGCTTAGCTTAATTTGTTATTTTAGCAGATTCACATCATTATGGTTGAAAAAGTTTAGTAATATGCTGATAAGTGATAAACATTACTGATAGTACTTCTATTCACTAAGTTATGAACATAAGTGAATGTTGCTTTACTTCATCCACCTGAAGTATTGCCCAAGACAAACAAAATGTTGAAGGAGCAACAACAGTGGATTGGGGATGGTGAAGTCTAAACTCTAAATAAATACTATGTGTTTTACACCCTTTATTGGATAATGTTGTTGATCATATCTTTTACATGTATCAAAGGGGTATTGCCAGTATGGGGACTCCTGCAAATATTATCATCCCAAGCAAAACCCTCAAACTGTGAACCAAACGGGACTCCCTCCAGGTATCTTTCTCGCATGTTTTGAGTATATTCATATTCAAGATTTTACTGTCAACCAACTAATGTCTTAAATCTTGAACTATATTAACCACCACGATAACTATTTAAACTTACTGCCCTCAAAAAGTATTTTTGTTTCTTATATTAACAACCATGATAATTTCTGTTGTTTGCTGCTTCATGAAATGGTTGTCCTTGTCACTCATCCAAAAGATCTCCTGGTTTTTGTCAGATGTTATTAAAATCTCAAAGGTATATCTTAGGAAAGTAATCTAACTTTTGGGAAGTCAGAGCTTTAAGAAGAACTGGGGAATCAATCTTTTGAATTTCTTGGATTTGGCAATGTGCAGAATTAACTTGTGCAAGCGGTATCCTGTGCTATTTTTTTTAAAAAAAACATTGTTAATAGTATTGTGTACATTTTGCCAACGAACTTATCTTGTTATGCTACAAGTTCTTCATTCAAGATCTCGAAATTTATGTACCAACTCTTTTGAAGTTCTTTGTCCTGTAGTTTTAAGTTTTCATTCCTAGTAGTTATTCTAAAAGATTTGAGTGACCTGATTAGTTTTTTTAAGTTGTACAGTATTAATTCTTGAAATGGATATACACTTGAATTGGGAGTATACTTGATTGTCAATCATATCCTATGAATTTGAATAGCTGTGGAAGAACACAGTGAATGCAAACTATGAATTTGAATAGCTGTGGAGGAACACAGTGCATGCAAACTTTTGATTTCCTTTTGTTTATCCAATTCTCAGGGGAAAATAGTAGAGAGGGTTTCCATTCAAGTAGTCAACCTTTTGGTTCAGCCTCTTTTCCAGGCAAGCATTGCTTTTGCATGTATTTTCTTCCTATTTTCACTTAAAATGTCAGGTGTTGTGTTTTTCCAATTCCCCAGTTAATCTGCTGATGCTCTTGGTAGTTTTTCTTCTAAATCTAGTTGTGATGTGTGGTTGTAGCAGGTGATGTGTTCAGAGAAAAGGCCGGAGCATCACTGAGCAATCTGCCTCCCTCTCTAAGGCCTCCGCCTGAGGGTGGTTATCCACCTCTCCCATTTGTTGAGTGGGGATAGGTCTGCCACCTCATTTACTACTCTTGTCAGATATGCTTTAGAGTGGGTGGACTGAAGATGTAGATTGCCCTAAATATAAATACTATATTGACTATGAAACAAATAGATGACTACAAGTTCAGTTGAGTGATTTGCACTTAGAAACAGGAAATTAAAAGTTATGAAAGATTTAAAAATGTTGGTTTCAATTTAATTACAACCTGGTTATCCTTTTATCATTTGAACTTCACCTACCTGTTATTTAGAGTGGAAAATTTTAGTGTGGTGGCAGGAATACCTTCATATTTTCCCTTCTTTTCCCCCAATGATCCCATTAATTCCAATTAATGTTGATTTTGGATGGTTATAGTGGTTGGACCTGTAAGTAACTACTTTTGGTGCAGGATGTGGATTAGTAGTTCCACAGTTTTACTGCTTGACTGTGGTCTTGGTGGCTATCATTTGAAGCTTACAAATTAGATGAGTTTGAGAAGTGGGTTTGGATTACAAATTGTTAATTTTATGAACATATCAGGAGAGACACTGCCTTAATTTGTGAAAATTGTGAATTGTGATTAAGCCTAAGATGTTTTCATGTTTATATTTTTGTCTTTTTAATTTAATAAAATTGGGTCGTTGGTAGCTTGGTTATACGTGCATATTGTTGATACAATTACATAGAAGTATCTATCATTTGAAGAGGTGATCTACCTTGGTCTGAGACACTTCTGGATCAATTCTAAATCTTCTATGTGAGATATGCAACCAATATTTTATAATGGCTTTTTCACATTCAGAGCTGTGTTCATGATATGTTAACTTGTGCTTCAGTGTGACAATGAGTAGATCACTATTCTACACATGATATGTTAACTTGTGCTTCAGTGTGACAATGAAGAGATAAGCGAGAGCGAAGAAAAATATAGACATTGGAGACAAGGTAAAAGTATGTTGATACTTATCCTTCCATGGCTCAAAGCTCCCACTTTTGCCAGTATGTCCCACACATAGGAGCTATCTTGCAAGCATGGACATTGGTACCCAACCCTTTTAACCCAAGCTAATTGGGGTTGGATGTTAACCCGATTGTTGTCTTTAACTCATTATGACCCAATCTGCCCAATTACCACCCAAAATGAAGTTATTGTAGAAACCAGAAAATGCAGCTAGCATTAGTGAAAAGACCCTCTTTTTAAAGTATGTCATATACCATGGGAATATGAACAGCGAATGCCCAAGTAATTTAGTAACACTTCTGCTGAACTGATTCCTATGCCTCCCACCCAATTCCCATGTCATTTCCCAAATCTTATTTGATGTTTACGTTATATGAACTGACGATATAAATTTATTTGATATTCTAATAAAATGGTACTGTTACATGTTTTGGAGCAACCTGAAAGTATTTATGAAAGATCATATGAAAGTTGTAGGATGGAAACCATTTTTCCAGTCCCTATGGGTCCACGATTAAGGAAATTATGTCAGCTTGAATTTTCGGACCGTAACTCAATGAATGATAATTATTTTAAAGAATAATCACCTAACTATTGCCATTTAGCCTAAGAAGCCATTTACTTGTCTAATTTAAGAATGTTCTCGAGTTGAGGTTTATTGTAAGTGTTAGTTTCTACCAAACTTTTATCATCCAATAAAAAAACATTTTGTTTCCATTATGATTTTAAAAAAAAATCACAAGTACTTATCTCCGCCGCTCCAACAAAGTAAAGCTACCCATTTTGTAGTACCGAAAATTCAAAGCATGCATAAGCATAAGGTAATGTGAGCACAAAATTCCAAAACAATATGTATCAAAGCATGCTCTCTGTAATATATTTGTTTCATTATAAGCATTCAACTATGCTTTCTTTTGACTTTATAAAAGATAAAATTTTACATAATGGGAATTAAAAATGAAGCAAAAAAGAGTGGTCCTATGTGGGGTTTGGTTTCTATCTACTCCTAGTGGAACTATATTTTCTTAGACGCCAGAAATTCCTTGTCCTAAAAGATGAACAAAAACTAAGATTTTCTTTGGGATTTTTACACTACATAGCTAATCAACAAAGTCCCAACAATAATTAACCCAATATTTTTCTTTTACAAATTGTAGTTAACTATCCAATGTATAATTTGTTTGTGTTACACATTATTCGTCCTTGACACCTGCAAGTTGAACGGGGATAAACAACTGAAAACGACTTCGAATAATACTCCATAGTCCGAGGTGCATGCTTGCTTAGATAGTAAGTGAGCGCGACAACTAAAAAATATCATGGTTATGGTAAGATTCGTTCAAAGGGAGATGCCCTTGACAAGATCTTTTTAATATTCAAAACTCACCGAAAATCAAGAGTTAAGAAATCCTATTTATTCAGCTACAATCTAAAACACCTATATTTTAGGTGCACTCAGTATTCCACTTAAAAAGAAAAGATCCCATAGCTTGAGTTAGTGGTTACTTTTGCAAATAGTTACTATAACACCTTAAACTTTCACTCTATGTGAACTAAATACAAAAACTACCTCCCTAATATGTGCCTCTTAGTACATATAAAAATAAGATTCACTCATGGTAGAGCAAGTTCGAGTTTATCAATTAGGTATCTATGAAAATTTTGATAGATTAATTTTTCTGTTAGTATAATCAAGCAGACAAAATTGAAATCTACCCATCAATGCAAATGCAATCCTTTTATTATGGCCATTACAAATAGACAAATTTAAATTTGTACTGCATTATTCCTAATAAAAACAGTAAAAGAAGCATTCTATTAGACAAGATTTATAACCATACATAGTAACCATAATAACATGTTCCATCAGAATTGCCTATTGGGCAGTCTCACTAGTTTTGGGACCAAAGTAAGTGGCACGTGATGGGATGAAAACGTGGGGTTCTTTTGAATTTCACTATTATCATTATCTCATACCCGCCCACCCCAATAGCTCTCGTTTTTTAATCAAATTTAATTTTTATATACTGACAGTAACTTTATTAAAAAAAACTATTATAAGGTACCTCGTCTAATTTTTAAAGTTTGTAATCCCTCTCGATAGTATACATAAACATATAGAAGTTAAATTCTTATCGTTGAAGGGACACCCTCCTATCTATTTATCCTCAACCAGAAAAACCATTGTGTAAATGGAATAGGGCGGTTTTGATATGATTAAAATAATGCCGACCATGCAAAAGAACCATTCTTCCACTAAGAATCATTTAGTATAAAATGGAATATTTCACTTTGAGAACTTGTAAGTAAACATAATTGAAACTACTTGCATAGTCTTTCCAACTTGTTTACAAGTGCTGGTTTTTAGTTGGTGGTCACATAAACAACTTCATTTTTGTTGTTTTTTTGACTTCCAAGAACGTGGGTGCCTTGCCTTATATCCTTCTAACTTCTGAAAAAACCTACTGATAATGACAAAAATAAGCATGATCTTTTTAGTCTAGTGAGAATTGACATTTTAGTTTTCTATATAGGATTAGTGAGGGGTCTAGTAAAAACAAGTAGCCAAATTGTGTTACTTCACTTCCCTTAAGTTCTATAAGTACTCTGTTTTAGTTTAAAAAAGCTATACTAGCTGGACACAAATTATGGAATTCACTAGATTTTGCTTCTTGGTTTTTTCTGTTTTCTTGATTTCCTATGTTTTTTCAGTTCATGGTAGGTTTTATGATTACCCCAAAGTGTCGCGTTTTCGTGCATTGTCACAAATATCAATGCCACCTTTCCCTGCCCCTGCCCCTGGCCCTGGCCCTGCCCCTGCTCCTGAACCTAAGGGTGATCCAAAAACTGAGAATGTGAAGAATTCATCAAATGATTATGCAGCAGGCATTTTCAATGTGTTGTCTTATGGGGCTGTTGGTGATGGTGTGATAGACGATACACAAGCGTTTAAGATGGCTTGGGATACTGCTTGTCAAGTTGATTCAGCTATTCTACTAGTTCCAAAACACTATTCTTTCATGATCCAATCCACAATCTTCACTGGTCCTTGCAAAAGTGGACTAATTTTTAAGGTAATGTGACAAACTATTTCATGTACTTAAAACGTTGTTCGATAATTGTGTGAAGTGACTAATTTTAGGATTGATCGTGTAGGTTGAAGGAACCATTATGCCACCAGATGGACCTGATTCATGGCCAAAAGGTGTCAGTAAGAAACAATGGTTAGTCTTTTACAGAATTGATGGGATGTCAATGCAAGGTGGTGGACTCATAGATGGTAAAGGAGAAAAATGGTGGAATCTTCCGTGCAAACCACATAAAGTAATTTTCATGATCCACTCGTAAAGTTATTGTCATGTGGCCACGAGGTCGGTCATGGGTTCTACAGCCTCTTGCAGAAATGCAGGGTAAGGTTGTGTACAATAGACCCTTGTGATCTGGAACCCCGCACATAGCGAGAGCTTTAGTGCACCGGACTGACTGCCCTTTTTATTTATTTTACAAATTTGATTTAGGATCTTGAGTTTTGTATATAATGTAAAACACTTCAATGCAGCAGGGGATAAATGGAACAACACTACCTGGCCCTTGTGACAGCCCTGTGGTAAGTTCAAAAACACATTGTTTTGTTCCCTTAGACCAAAAGACTCCATAAAATGTAAAGTACGTTCAATTTTACAGGCTATAAAGTTTTTCATGAGCTCAAATTTGACAGTGCAAGGGCTTAAAATCAAGAACAGCCCACTGTTCCATTTCAGATTTGACAGTTGCCGCGGTGTCCATGTTGACTCGCTTTACATAAAAGCACCACGTCAGAGCCCCAATACTGATGGAATTCACATAGAGAATACCAATGATGTCACAATAAGAAACTCAATAATCTCCAATGGTAAAACCTTAAATTCTTGTAAAGTTAAGTGATAGAGGATTATTCTTCGCGTATTCTCTTTCTGAGCACAACCAATTTATGTTGTAGGTGATGACTGTATTTCAATTGGAGCTGGTTGTTACAATGTTGATATAAGGAACATGACCTGTGGTCCAAGTCATGGAATAAGGTATATATTCAATATCACACCATCTTTTTATGTCAAAAAAGTAAACAATTAATTTTGCACCACAAACATATTCTTAAAAAAAATGGCACATTAACTAACAAAACTGCTAGAGTGAAAGAGGTATGCCCTACCACTACACACACAAAAAAAAAAAGAACAACACTTTTAAGCCCATAACAAGATGTCTACTCTGTCTTTATTCCCAAATCTTGAATATAAAGACTGCGTCTTTGCATAATTTTCAGCATTGGCAGTCTAGGCATTCGCAATTCCCGGGCATGTGTATCCAACATTACAGTGGAAGATTCAACTATTAAGTATTCAGACAATGGTGTTAGGATCAAGACATGGCAAGGAGGATTTGGGACAGTATCCAACATTAATTTCAACAACATTAGAATGGAAAGTGTTCGAAATCCGATAATTTTAGATCAATATTACTGCAGCACAAAGAGCTGTGCAAATCAGACTTCAGCAGTGTACATATCTGATGTGATTTATTCAAACATAAAGGGTACTTATGATGTGAGAAGTCCACCAATGCATTTGGCTTGTAGTAACAGTGTCCCTTGCACAAATTTGACTTTTTTGGATGTGGAGTTATATCCTGCTCAAGGACAAAAAATCTTGGAACCATTTTGTTGGAATGCTTATGGTGCTCTAATTACTCTTACAATTCCACCAGTTTTTTGCTTGTTGGAAGGCACACCTCAGTCATTACCAAGTAATGATCTTGATCAATGCTGATACATGATTTGCTAAGAAATACAAACTTGTAAAAGATGGAGTACTTAATAGTATGTATTAAAGTTTTAGCTCTTCTAGTCTTGTTCCAGAGAGGACTAAAACTTAACTGTAAGCATGTATCCATTTTGTTAATGATATAAAAGTAGTATATTTTAAATCAGTTTTAGAATATCTTCTGCTTTACCTACACTGATAGCGTAAATAACTATAAGCCCAGTACACTAAGCATCCCAAGTTAGCAAGGTTACGGACAAGGGTCACAACCTAAGCATTAGTGGTTGCTTCCACACAGCTCGAACTTGTGAACTTAGGTAAATGACCAAAGTTCATAGCATGTTTGGATGTCTATGAAATTAAGTAGAAAGGAATCAAGGTTATTCACTAATTTTAACCATTTAAGAAGTAGCTTAATTTAGTCACACACATATCAATTACCAGATGCCCAATAAGATGACGAGTTCAACAAAAAAGGCAAGTGATCAATAACTCATAGCTAGTGTCTCAATGTACGTACGACTAATCTATATTACTTTCACGTGCTCGTAAAATAGTAAAAAGTAATATTGAAAATAACACAGATTACCTACTATATATCGTGATAAATTACAAAAAGGGCAATGGTTGCACGAAAATAGGTTTGGCAATCCCTTTTACCTTTTGAATTTTCTAAATTTAGTACTAATTACAGTAGCAGGTAGGTTAATCGTACACATAGGTTAACTATAAATAGAAAAATCCGTGGAGTAAAAGACGCACAACAGCTTTTTCCTTTAGGCAACATGCAGCAAATATTGGTGACGATCCCAACTAATCTAGATGTGCAAGTTTATAATATTTCTGAACTTTGAAATGACGATTTCTATTAAGATAAAAGAAATTCCTCCGATGATACTTACTCGAACATCATCATCTACTCAAGTTATTATTAGAGAGGAGGAGGAATGGAAGGGGCTAGAATGAAATTATTAAATTAAAGAAGATCCAATAATTAAGAGCATGACATAATTAATGTGTAGTGGGAGTGGCAGAGATGACAGCACTATAGTCTATAAATGGAAAAAGTTGAGGTCCCAACATAGAAAATGGAGTAAGGCGGCTGTGGTGTGGGGCTACCACCTACAATTTCTCAAACACCATATATATAGCCCACAAGTAAAATGTAGTACTCAATTCTTTTAACTTTGACTTGATGTAGGGGGCCGGTGCACCTATGTCATCAATTCTTCTACTCTATTTCCTAGTAACTACAAATGATTTTTTATTTTTGATTTCATGAATTCTTCTATGTATGCTTAAGTTGTAATTCTGAACTTTGAACTCCGCAGGCGAAACTTCAAGTTTATAAGTTTTTCAACGTCATTGGGTGTAATTTTCTGCCCAATATTTGATCAGCCAAAAGAACAGAAAGACACTAATGCAAGAACATAAATTGAAGGACAAGTTCCTATCATATCCATTAGGAGATACAGAAAGCTGTAAGTTTGCTCGCAAATAGGCATGAAACATCTCCAAATCAACGAGATAAACCACCCAAGGAATGTTGAGGAAGATACATGTACACACCATATGCATTTGCCATTCACTAAAAGTTCACTGTTTATTAAAGCATTACATTTATATCCAGATCAACCTTCTTCCGCATACACAGCATAAATAACAAGGCAAATACACTTCCAGACACAGAAGTCGAGGACTAGTATGAAGAGGCGAGTAGCTCCAGCAAAGAAGCAGCAAATTGCATTTGCGTCTCCTCGTCTATGGTTAGGAAGAGGGGAACGTGTACAAATAGTGATCGGACACCATTATGCTCTGCAAAACGCAAGGAATGGTAGTATACATAATTGCATACAAACCGGCCTGCATCATCAGAGGTCATTACTTCATATCCCATCTTTGCCAATACCTTGGTCATTTCCTCCACCGGAAGAGAAGTCTACACAAAGAGAGAACACAGTATAAAGAGAAGTGGTACGACACCTATAGGTGTCGAAGACAAACAAAAATAAATTGTTCCTGGATTAGAAGTTACAGGAAGCAGCTATTTCCAGTCGGTGCGATCTGTAGAAAGATTAGATGCTAGTAAAAACTCCCCACTCCAGAAACTGGATGTTCAGAGAAATCGGTGTGATCTTCCTACTGGAAAAAATTTCCACAGTGGGCTCTTCTTTTTCCCCATTTAAAACTACCTGTTCGTCTGATATCTTTGAATAGGGATACTACCATGTGGTCCAAGATTAAGCTTTAACCTTAATTATCAAAAAGAAAACAAAAAAGAAGTGGAGAAACGTAAGTTGATTTCCCTTCCTTTAGTTACTAAGATTTTCATTTTTCTAAGTTCGAAAAGTCCAAAGTACACAGACTAGACCCGGAGCTTCGATACGGTTTCTCGATCCAAGATCCATGTATCGCAGACCGTCCGTTCTTAGGTAGATAGGGAAAATTGAAAGAACTGATTATGCAGGGATCCCTGAATCAAATAAAGGTATGGAAATGAAAACATATCAAGGAAAATCATGTATATATAAGATGGAGAAATTAGTGTTTAGCTTGGATGGCAACTCCAACTATTCAAGATAGGAAATATATTTCCAACAAGCACTACACCACTTCGTTATTCATCAGCTCCTCCCTCCTCAAGGAAGTCACAAAAGTGACTGAGATAGTATGAAGCAAAGCAAAAGTGAAATAATTTAGAAGCCACGGTTATTGGTCTTGGTAACAGTTCACAATGTCATAATCCCTGGAAACTAGAATATTTTTCAGTAAAAATAAATGAATAAAAATCTTTAAAAAGTTCATGAGCTCGGAATACTTGAGAGAAGAAATTGGATTCGAACTGTATATCATAAAATGAAGAATCAACCCTCGCAACATAGGTCCATATCTTTCCATCCGGTCCTGGTGCATTTAAAGGATTATGAAGAATATGACCAGAAAAGGAAAGAGAACCATTGAGGCTGGAATATTAAGCATTTAACTCAAGGTTTAGCATGTATAAGCATGGACAGTGAACCAACAATCTTGAGCTTCCAAAAAGCTTATGACTTTGTGTTTACAAGTTACTTCCTCAGCTCAGTGCTCTGTGTCTATTTCCAGCATAGGACGCCCAGAATTGTCTTTTATATTTCTACAATTCGGCCAATCGTCACTCGACAGCTCAAAGCTGTTATACCTAAGCACTTCTATCTTCCAAACTAACTAATTTTTTAGATCATTATTTACAAGGGTCATTCCCTAGTAGGGTCATACATTACTTTTACTTGTCAAACAAGTGGATAATCATCACCAATACTTCATATAAAGGAAGTAAACAATCAACTTCTCTGGTCTTGCCGTCCTGCTTCCCTTTTGGAAACCAAGACAAAGTGTTAACTCAAAAAATGGAGTCTAACAGTGAAGTGTATAGCAAACTCCCTTCAACTTTTAAAAGATGGTATATAAACTTCAATGAAGTATGAACCAATGCATACAACTGTTTCATATAAGTACCAACCACATTTGGTTGACTTCAAAGTTGGAAAACAAGATAAGCATTAAATTTTAATAACCATTCTACAGAAATCATGAGAGATGGATGCAAGAAATCATAATACCTCTCGTTTACGCGAAATTGCCCCATCTGCAGGAACAATAGGTACTTTCTGCAAGTAACAGGATAAAAATCTTGAGTTCAGTTGATGAACTGTACAAACTGAAACTGGAAGGTCTTTTAACAGGACAAATGAAAACTGGAAGGTCCTTTAACTAACCTGAGGTTTCCATCCCATCTCATCTGGACAACGGAAAGTAGCTTCATTGACAGCCTGATTCTCTATGGCAAACATTGTGGCACCACTATTAACTCCAAAGTGTACCTAGATAAAAATTACCAAAAATTAGATTAATCTTGGTATATGAAGTACAAATATTGGGCATCAAAATACTCCATAGATAATTTGACTGTGACAGAGAATTCGCAACAAAGACTCTAGAACATAACCATAATACTCTCTAGCCACTTGAACACCATAAACACCATTCCCTCCTCGTGTCATTATAGAGTGGTACTACAAGCAACTATGTTATGTCATATGTGCCCTGTATCAATATATCTTAGAGGAATTAAAAACTTTAGTGGTATTCTCTATACAAGAATATGTGATACTCACCAATTTCAACGAAAAATGGACAACATTTCTCCTCACAAGTCACAAGTATAAAAGATAAAGCACGACAAAAGAATTAGGTCATTTGGTTGTAAACAAATAAACAACAATCTCTTAGTTTAGCTTTATCCCTCCCCTTATCCCCCATTTGCGACCTTTATCCCTCCCTTTTATCTACCTTCTCTTAACACCTGAATACAATTCTGATTTTAAATGATTCATTAACTATCCCAAGACTATGAACCAAACCCATTTTGTTAAGGTAAATTTGTGGAACATTCTAGGCTCTAGTAGCATATTTTTTATAAGGGTAACATTTCCAGCAGCATATTTAAGTACACTTTCACAGGATTGGGTCCAGAACAGGATTTTCCAAAGAGCCTAGAGTATATATAAGGTGCCGCCTACACATCATAGCATGCGTCAAATTTCTGAAAAACGAAGTATAGCGGTTTTCAGGATTAAAAAATTAATTTAATGACCATTTTGTCAGCAACGATCCTTCCACAAAATACAAAAGCAGTAGCACCCTGCATCATTCAAAGATGATCAATTTGTATGAACTATGATCCAAAACTTCCATATCGTACATGACAAAAGTAGAAATATGATATTTCCAAGATAAAACCAACCACATCCAAATTAAAGGTCATATATTTCGTAATAGGAGAAAAGGAACACTAATTGTGTCATGTGGTCCTGTTAGATTCCATAAAGAAAAATTTCCATCTTTATGTCATATTAAGGTCCAATGGAATTACCAGTCACGTGACCTTTTTTTAAAAAAAAGAAAGGTAACAGTTAGTCTATATTATATATCACAGGTATACTACATCAGAAAATGTAACCCCGCTTCAGAAGTGTTGTAGTTACATAGGGACAGTATTTTGGACGCCGGAAGGCGATAAAAGCCGACAAGGGTCTGCTTCGCCACAAGACGAGGCGAGCGGCGAGGCGCTTGCCTTTTTGAAGTGCAACGCCAATTAGTACCAAAAATTTCAATATT